ACGCCTGAGGGCCCCGCAATGGTAGCCAAATAGTAACAGCTTGGCTCACCTCCAGAGTCAATCGGCCAAAGTCGGGCGTCCGTCGTCCCTCTGACCTGTAGCACTAAACCCTCTACTCGCAAGGCCTAGTCATCTCCTCGAGACCCAACACTCCTCCGCCCGACTGCTGTCGCGGAACTGCCTATAACAGTCACCATCGGTATGCAGCGACATATAGCAACCCGCATCAACTGCCCGGGCACAGCCCATAGGTGCCGCAACAACGCACATTGGTGGTCAGCTGCAGTCTCCTCGCACAGTCCACAGTCATGACAATCAGACAGCACGGAGCAGCCACCCTGTGTGCAGTCCCAGCGGCGGCAGCAGTTCATGCGCAGTACGTAGTGGCCAGCCTCATCAGCTATCCTTCTCTCCTGTCGAGGCAAGCTCTCTCTCCCTCTTCTTAGCGCACTCGGTCAGTCTTTTTTTTTTTTGCCAGGTAAGCATGCCTCGTTCCCTGCACACCCTCTCTTCCCGTGTAGTCACTCCCTGCTTCTGTCTGCAGGCCGGTCGTCACAACAACGAGCCCGACACTTATCAATTGGAGACTGTCTACCAGGGTATGCCGACCTCACTAACAACAGTTTGACCCCCTTCATACACCTTGATGGTCACACAGGGCCGGTGTGAGTCGATCGTAAATGTGGGTTACAACGGATGGTAGCGGCATTTATCATGGCTATGCCGCCGGCCCCGCGGCTGACTTCGTACTGCCTGCCGCAACGGTACGTGCGGAATCTGCCCCGCGGATATGGGTAGATTCACTCCATCCTTTATACAACGGCCGGCTACTCCTCCCGGGCGCAGCCTCCCATAAACAGGTGAGTCCAATCTCGTCTTCTTCTCCCTCTAAGTCGAAATTAATCTATCGAAAAACTGCAGAAAGACACGCTACCATCCCGACGTTCTTTAGGCAAGCGAATTCGTTACGAATCTGCTGTCAAAATGAGGCTAGGTGCATTCGCACCTTGCCAACTCGTTTTCCAGTTCCCTCTGCTTACCCACTAACTTTCTATTTACTAACTCTTCAGCCAAACTAACTACACGATCGGGGTCGCGACCCCCGAAAACCCAAAAATTGAATCCTCCCTCGCCCGTTTTCATCACGAAACGACCGAGATTCACAGTTTCACCCCTCGCTTCTTCCCTCTCATCACCATCTCCGCGCACGAACTTTCTTCCCTGTCTCTAAATCTACTAACTTACTTCTAAAACTAACTTCATAGTCTAACTCGCAAACACCGAAAACCCCCACCTAACTACTACTCCCATTCTACTCCGTCAGAAGGTTGGCAGACTAACCTTTCTCCATCTCCTTCTTCYTCGTTCCCGCCATAGCCCCRCGCCACCACTTTTCTACTAACTTCTCATCCTACACCTCTAACACCCGGACTGAACTCGTAATSACRTTYGCCCGGCCCCCAAACCCCTATTTCAAAACYCCTCCCGCCCGTTTTCGTCCAGGATCGGGCGGGCTTTACTCTTCTCCGTTGCGCCTGGCCCCCACCATCGTCATCTCTCTCGTTGAATGCACCTGGCGCAAATTTGCGCCTGCATCCACTTTCACTTCCCTGTCTTCCTGTTATCCCTATCAGCGCCCGTTTCCCCGCTCGTCAGCCTCGTTTTGTCGGTCTCCCTTTTTCTTCGCCTCTTCCACATGTATCTGGCGCTAAACCCCGGCCCGGTTCATCCCCCTCACTCCGTTTGCTCCATTAGTTTCTCTTCTCRAATGAATCCGGTGCGGAAATGTGCCCAGATCCATTCGATCTACTCGCCCCAATCCCTCTCCGTCGCTGCTCGATACCCGCTGCCTCACCCTCTGCACTCCACTCCGGTATCCTCCTTCGCTTTCTGCAGCGCCCGCTACCTCCCGCTGCGCTCGTCACGCTCTGTACTGCGCTCCTCTTTACGGCAGCGCTCCGCCCCGTTCCCTCTCTCTCTCTGCTGCCTTAACACTCGTCCCCCCTGTCGGGCTGTGGCCTGCCTATCTCCCCGCCATCACCCTTCTTGCTGCGAATGCATCTGGCGGGACCTACGTCCATGTTCGGCCAGCTTTTGCTGGCCTTTCTTTGCTCTGCGCAGTTCGCCCGTCCGCCCTCTGTCTCACTGTGCCCAGCATATCTCCCAGCCCTCTTTCTTCCATGCTGGCCCCCGTCACCTGTAGAGCAGCGCTGCCCGCCTTGCCTATACTCAACACACCGCGTGGTCCAACAATCGGTCGGCCTGGCGAATCTTCGAAGGGGATCGGCTGCTAGACGGGTTGCGGAGTCTTCGCCCGTAAACCCAGGCCCGATGAACGATTTACACTTCAGTATCACTGCGAGCCTCAACCAGAGTTCCCTCTGGCCTCACCCTTACTGGCTCCATCCATTCGGAGGGAAACTTCGAAGAGGACCAGGTACCAGGCGGTTAGATTAGTCTTTCACCCCTATACGCAGCTGGTCACTGCTCGGCAGGCCGTCACCACAACCCCCTCAGTGTTGTTCGAAGCCCACCACCCCTTCGGGCTTCCACTGGCCAGACTCCCCTTCAAACAGCTGGCCACGGTACTAAAGGCTCGGTCTGCCGTAAGGCTCGAGCATGGGCCTTAGCGGACTGGGTCCAGTACGGACCTTGGTGGTAGCAACAAATTTTCCCTGTCGCCGTCCGGCGGCCCGCTCAGGGCGTATCGACGTTCTCCCAGTGGGAAGCGAGGGAAGCCACGACCACGGACCCCACGGGCTACGGCCCCTGCAGGCCCTTAAAACAATCATTGCCCCGTGTTCCGCCCACGGCACCACGTCCTAATGCAAAATAGGGCGCGGCCGCAGTGCAGCCACGAAAACAATTTGTAATTGCACAACAAGCAATCCCGCGAATACAACACACCCCCACATGATTCCATCGCGGTCTCGCGTCCTTGAACGGGGCTTGATAAATAAAACAGAAAAAGAGAAGTAGAATAAAAATAAAAAAATAGAGCTGGGGGACAGCGGGGCTGCTGGCGCCACCCAAGTCCCGCGGATCAGGCCTGCCGCCGCCCCTGTAAACAAAACCGAAAGGGATAGCCCTGGCGGCCCTCCACCTCACCGGTTCCTTCCGCCATGCTTCGCTGTAGTTGCTGCGCCGATGCCCTACCAAGCTCGATCCCGGAACCTCCATAGCGTCAGCCCAATGTCATAACCTACAGGGCTAAGCCCAAGCCTGGTACCGGCAGTAACAAAATCCTAAAGAAAGTGGTACGGCGCGGTTGTCCCGGGTCGCGAAAGCGGTCTGTGCCACTCCTCAGCCTATGCCGACGCACACGGCCATCGAAAGTCCGTGCCGCGGCTGTCCATGTTTGGCTGTATCCATCAGGTCCCATCATCTGGATCCACCGCATGTCCGTATATGCTCACTGAACCGTCGGTCGTACTAGACCGAAAAAAAAAATAAAAAAAAAAATCATAAATCCTGGTTTAATAAAAAATGAAATAATATTTAATATCACCTAAGCAAAACGACCGAGGTCCGAGCCGACTCTTACGATCAACAACAGAAAAGAATCACGGGCGCCTTAAACCTTCACGCTCACACGCTCGCTATTGTGGTCGACCACCTAGTCAACGCAATTACAAACGCAGCCGCGCTTAGCGCGGTATACTTAAACTTTAAGCCAAACAATTTTCTGTTACTTGCAAAAACCAGGGCGGATACCCTTGTAAGGGTATTCGCACCGACAGCCTTACCGGACCATATTAAGCGACGTCCCTGTCGCTTCGCCAAATCTGAAAGCTATAAATCTATTCACACTCCAAATGCTGACGAAAGAGGTGAGCCAATCCGATTAGCCGACAAACACAGGGTAGAGGCCTCTATCAAACCATGCCTCCACAACTATATGCTGCCAGGTTTCTAACCTGGGCCTCACACCGTCCAGAAATTAGGACACTGGCAGCATAAGTTCCAAAGACCTTCCCAATCGTCCTCTCCCCGGTCCTAGACAACCTTCGGCTTCTCGTTGGGTGTCCCTAGTCCTAGCAAAAACTAGGGACGCGGGTCTTTACCGAGACCTTTGAAGGCACTTTCGCCTTCCTTCTCAAAATCTCTCGCAATCAAATACATATAAGTACATATGTAAACTTAATATCCACTCCGCTCTTTCTGCAGTCTAGTACAGAAAGGTCAGGTCTCCATCTTGGCCCACCATAGCCTGGTTGATCGGACGAGGACTACGGCCTACCGCATTGTTATTTAACGACAGTACCCTCGTTGGTTACGCATTGATAGGGTTTCTCCTGATAGTCACTTAATCAGGACCTCCCAAAATCTCAACCTTCACTATCCCACAGAGTAATTTCCCTGGGGCGGGTAACTCCCCTTAAACTCCTACCCCGTGGTCCCGCAACCAGGTTGCGCTGGTTAGCAGTCATCCAATGGGGTTACGCCCTAGAGATACTAACTTCGTTTCCGTTAGCTTGGCCTTTCTTCAATATGTCTCAGAATTAGCACCAGTGGTTAAACGGGTGCGTCAAAACAAAATCACAGGCCCACTGCGCGATACGCAGGGGTCCGAAGGCATTTACCAGCCCTCCTTCAATAGGCATGGCCTCCTTCGCACGCTTACAAGCAAAATCACCGCTAAATCCACCAGGCCGTGACCCCTGACTTGATCAGAGCCAGCAGCCACCCACCCTGGGACATCTCTCGCCCTGTACTCATTGCGACTTTCTCAAACATTTCAAATAAAAAGTGGCCCCTTTCCGTCAGACTTTATCACCCATCGAACAACTCGTCATGCCATAAATCAATTTACTCACTTCTGAGGATGAGTCTTCCAACCAAAAACCACTCCCCTTTTCCAACAATCCAAAAGGGACTCTCTTCATAAACAAAACACCCCCTCTTCCAAAAATCGCGAGGGGTCTCGCCATAAAACAATACATTCCCTCTTCCAGAAATCACGAGGGTCTCATCATAAATCAAACACCCCCTCTCTCAAAGTCACGAGGGGTTTCGTTACATCACAAAACATCACGAAACATTCCCTCCCTTTTTTAAAATCTAAGGGGGTCCCATCATAAAACAGAACATCACTGAGAGACCATCTTATGGGTGCTCATCACAACTTAGATAACTTTCACAGACGGACTGCGCTTCCTCTCCTTATATTCTGCCTTATCAGCTGCCTTGGGCAGGTCGCACAAGTATACCGAGGAGTAGACAGTTTTACTTACAATTATATTCACATACCCAAGATACATAAAAGGTTTTTCACACATTGTCCACACAAACTCATCATACATCAGAGTACAACCACACATGTAAGAAAGACAAGTGATCGTCACATATAAGAATGTTCCCTGAAAAAAACCTCATCATAATATACACTCAGGGAATACAATGTCTCATACAGAAAGTGTCTCCAAATCATAGCTTGCTCAACTCAAGCCACACCAAACCCACACTGACAACTACCCTTAGAATACATGTCAGATCTGTCTCTCAAAGGCCAGGGC